GGATTCGAGATTTTGAGGTTTTGATCTGGCTTGACCTGCGGGGTTTTCTCGGATTGCGAGGCTTGCTGGGTACCTTCCCAGCAAAGCAAAGTTTAGGGGCACAGAATTCAGGACTCATAGCGGGTTTCACTTGATAGGACTTGGGAGTTTCCGAAATTAGGGGTACCTTGTTTGGGGCATCCTTATAACAAGGATCCAGCTATTTAGGGTGCTATTTTGGAGTCCCCTATTTTCGGAAATTCCCATTGATGCACCCAAAACCAAGTTCTAGTGTTTACGACCCTGAATATCTTCAAACCTCAAGCCCATAGTTCACACTCTGGCAGCCTTCAGCGTTTTAGGACCCAACAGCCCTAACGCACAGCTGTAGACCGACATGTAGAGGGACCCACATCCCTATCGTGTCAAACCCGACAAACACACACAGACAGAGGGAAATCTGAAACAGTAGAGGAACCCACATCCTAGCCAGCCGAAACCTTCTTCTAGGTACGCCCCCATTGATAGTCCCGATAAACATTTTCCGATGCCCCCTCCACAAACGTGTAAGCACCAGCCCTGAAACACCTGGCGATTTAAAAGAAACGCAAAACTCCTTTGAAAAAAACGCATCAACTTTTCCTAAACCCGAAACCCCTACATAATGCCTCAAGAGGATGATTTGGTTCTATCTCGACCATGATGCCGACGGTGTTCTCTCCCCCGAGGTCCAAGAACGGGCTTGGGTTTTCGGTCCTGAGATGTGGCGGTTTACCCAGAGGCTCCATAGTAGATCCTTTTTGGGCTTCATACTTAGAATCCTATCAGGTAATCCCGAAAAGGAGCTACTATGGTTCCTTTTTGGGCTTCATACATAGAATCCTATAAGGTAATCCCAAAAAGGAACTACTATGGAGCCTCTGGTAAGGTATGAAGGGTTGAGGATGGCGGGCTTGTGAGTTTAGTTGCGGCCTTCGGGCTGCGGTTGTGTTTGGGATTTACGTTGGAGTTGGGGGTTGAGACTTAGATCCCCGATACCTAACCTTTAGACTTTTTGAGTTCTTAGAGTTTAGTAGGAATCGGAAAGTTTAACCTTCTATTCCTGTGGCTTATTGGGGTAGTACGGAGAAGCCCTAAAACCCAAAAACCCCAAACCCTGAACCCTCAACCCTAAACCAAAAACCCCAAACCCAAGGGCTTGTATCAGGCATGGGCAGGGGACCTGGAGTCTTAAAGTCGCTGCGAGATTTCAGAACCCTACCTGAACCCTCAACCCCTTTAGGGTTTAGGGTTTAGGGTTTAAGTGGTCCTTTGGGAGACTCATTGTCAAAACCAGAGAAGCATAAACAACTCTGAGACCCTGACACCTTTTGCCCTTGGCCTCAAACCCCTAACCTTAAGCTTAAGCCCTTCCTTAAACTTGAACGAAATCCTTCTCAAACCTCCATATACACTTACACCATGCAGAGCCCTCCTTCAACCCGAAGGATGGCCTTATGAGCCTGTCAAAAGCCCCGTGGTAAACACCTGTACACTGTACGAAACTCTTCGAAGCCTTTAACAGCGGCCTTGACAACCTAATGTAGGTGCAATAAGAATTTCATTAGGGCTTTGGCAACAGGAACCTCCAACATGTATTTTTTTAGGCCCGTACATTGTCCGCCCTGAAGGACATCCGCTTCGCCTTGCGGGACTTGGAAGGGAAGGCCATGTTCCGAACTGAGGGCTGACGTTTTGCTTAGTTCATTTCTACACAGGGGGTCCGGTGTTTGAGGCCTTGAGGTAAGGCCGTTTAAGGAGTTAGGGTTGAATTACTTTAAGCTTTACAAAGGGCTGAGCTGTTTTGACGGTGTAGGGTTTGAGGGTTGTTGCAGCTTGTGGGTGTTTACGGGCTCAGGGATTTACACGGAGGCTTTCAGGGCCCGCGTGTGATGCGGCCCTTGTACCGACAGACGAGAGACGAGGGTTGTCAGAGTTCCGACTTCATGTTCGGGGTTTAGGGTTGAGGGTTTAGGGATTGGCTTTGCTTGTTTTGGCTTGGTTTTCGCATTTCAATAAACTGATGAAAGCATGGCTTCGCTACTCGAGAGGACATGCAGTTAAGCCTTTTTCAATGAGAACACGGATAGTTAGGCTACAAATATCAGGTTGGCGGTGTAGGTTTTGCGTGTGGCCCAGGCTCGGCGAGGTTTGGGGTTTGAGGCAGAGCCGCCTCGGTGCGGTGTAAGGGTTCTTAAGCAGTAAACTATGATCATACGGCAGGGGGTCCTAAACCCTCTTGTGAATCTTTAACCATTGCCTTTTCTCCCTTTGGTGGGATTGCCGCGCTTGGCCCAGGGGCAAGGGGTACAGGGAGGTGACGAAGTGCCCAACCCTGTCGGTCCAAGGATAACGTTAGCGTTTGGTTAGCACGCTTATGATGTGGTTGCACCGTTTACCTTTAGCGGGGATACTACCGAGTGTAATACTGCATCACAATACAAACTACAGTGAAAATACACTACTCACTGATTTGCGTACACACAGACAGTTTACACCCCTGACACAATATTTGTGACGGCACTACATAAACCATATGTATGTACATGTTTCCAGTTTGCAGGCATATCGTCCTGCGATTGTCAGCACTGTTGTGTGCTGTTGTTAAGCCCCCATAGGTAGGTAATGCGGCGATGCTACAAATTGAGAAGAAAAGTGGAAACGCACAGACATGCGCCAACTCGAAACACCAGGAAATCAGAAAACGGCAGGCGGCACTGCGCCAGAGATTTTCGGGAGTCCAAGTTGTAGAATAATCATGAGCGTTGCATGAAATGCCTCGTGTTCTGTCATTTCGCTGGCAAGTGGCCTGGTGTGTGCTGTGTACAGTGTACCAGAACTAGCAGTCATTATCCGTACCATGATCAATGATCAACACATAAACAGTATGTGTTTAGGCACGTGCGCGCATGTGCTCATGTATGTCTTTAGAAGTGTGGGAATGTATGCCTGTGCGCGTGTAATCAAGCGTATGTAGGGCATTAAGATATTCATACAGTCTCCTGGGCATGTGTATTAACTCTATAGTCTATATATTACATTTGCATAGGTGTTTAGCCTACAGTGCCCAAGAAACGCAAAACCAAACAAACAAAACTTAATACTGAAGCATAACATGCAAGAATCCCAGGCCCCATGTCTGTTGTGAAAACTCCTCGGCAGCGACCAGGTCGGCGTACAGCAGAACTTCTCAGCAGCAAGCTTAGCAAATTGAAGTGTATTACACTTCCCTAAGGGTCCATGTACACATATAAAGATACATGGGCCCCAAAGTACCTATATAGGGACTACATTAAGGCCAATGTATATACTATATGAGTACATGGACCCCTATAGGGTTTCTTACATCGAATAATAAGTATGATCTACGTATACTATGAGCTGCGTACAAGCTAATGAGATATGCGCACTTAACTTCTAAGATTAATTTGTCAGGTTGATTTGGCTTGCAGGTTTATGAGGTACATGCACACCTTGTACCTTAGGTCAACCCCCGCGTGGTAACCGCCCGGAAATGCTAGGCCCAGGAACCCCAAACCCCTAACCCCAAACATTAAGCCTTGTAGACCCTATTGTACCTATACTAGGACCGTTTATTTACCATTCACATTCCTACATGAATCCTTGGTGGAAGATGTCCTGCAATAGCGGATGCCTTTACCTCACCTATATTAGAGATTCATACCCGTGGCCCAAAGAACCCTAGAAAGTTAGGTCTTTTCGGCTACAAATACAGGCTGGGCTGTACGCCCTTATTGTGCCTCATTAACTGAGATCCCCAATACACCTTTAAACTTTTTGGATTCCTATAGTTCAGTAGGAATCGGAACGTTATGCTTGGGGTGGTAAGTTAACCCCTGCACAACTTCAGAACCCTACTGCGGCTTTCGCCGGCGGTGTGCCGAAGGTGTATTTGGGGCCTTAATTCATGAGAGTAGGATTCCTGTTTAAAGGGGTCTTTTGGGGCTACTATAAGAGTTTAGTATAAGGGGCTTTAAGTGGGGTCTAAGGTTTATTGTGGCGGGTATGTTTATGGTCTTTGGCTGTATGGTCCACGCAGAAGACATTGTAACATTGTACTTGTCTGGAGTTTTGGAGCAGGTGATCGTACGTGTCAGGAGTGGTCTAGGCATCGAGAGCAACGCCCTTCAACCGGAACATGAATCCTGAAGCCCTATGTAAGCCTTAAAGCATGGCCTGCGGCTGGTTTTACAGGGTCCCTGGCACAGAGGACCGGTTGGGGACTACAGAAAGACAGAGAGAGAGAGACAGAGAGAGAGAGAGAGAGACAGAGACAGAGACAGAGACACAGACAGAGACTGAGACTGAGACTGAGACTGAGAGAGAGAGAGAGAGAGAGAGAGACTGAGACTGAGAGAGAGAGACTGAGACTGAGAGAGAGAGAGAGAGAGAGAGAGAGAGAGAGAGAGAGAGAGAGAGGGAGAGAGAGAGAGACTAACACACAACAGAAAGCAACGCATTAAATCTGGAAAGCCACTCTCTGGCGTAAATGTGAATATCGGGTAGTAGGGGCATTTCACATTTCAGACATGACGGGAGCCAAACACAGACCCTCAGGAGTGGCTTCCTTCTTGACAAACTGCCCCTAACAGGGTCCCTTAGTTGGTTCTGCAGCCCAGCTTACAAGTCACAACCTTTACAGAACCCTGTAGATCGTTGATATATTCCTCTAAGGCCCTTCATGGAAGCTTAGGGACCCACTTGTGGAACCATAAAGCGGGCAACTTCTTGTGACAGAAACCTAGTGGACCCAAAGGGTCCGACTAATGATGTACCCTGATTTTGGATGATGCAGTTTAGCAGGTAAATATTTGGGAGAGTATAGGAATATTGGGTATTGGGACCCTTACCATATAAACCCTAAACCCTCTACAAAGCGTGCATGGCTGCAGCCTACCTGGCCCACGGATCGCCAGAGCCCGGCAAGCGCAGAAATCTCCCCACTTCCCCTCGCCGACGCCATGGCCAACGCTCTGCTGCCCGCTTCCAGCGCCCTTCGACTGAAACCCTGCGATACCTGAAACTCTTATGACCCATGTTTTTGTATGTTGTTGTTGGGCGCCCTGGCCTTACAACACCTAGGTTTTGGTAGGTAGTGGGGGTCTTGACATAGACTTAGAATTGTTCAGGCCCTTAGATGACGCACTGGTATCCTCCTTCACAAGGGAAAAAATTCCTCGGCGGTAGCCCTTCAAACCCTGGGGATCAAAGTAGCCCAAAAGCCTTATAGAGTGTGGTCTTTGGGCCCAAAAGCCTTAATATATGAGTCCTTAGAGCGCTAGGGAAACTTTAACCAGCCCCTCAGAACTGATGTCGCCAGTTCTTGTATAATTATATGCTGATGTTCGTGTGTACGTAGACGCCGATTCTATTGGAATCTCGTAGTATACCCCTAGACCCTCTTCCAAGCATTACACAATAGAACTACAGCCTTTATATGAAGGGAGAGACATTAGTCAATAGCTTTGTGGTTGCAGTTCTGTGGCGCTGTACATTCCGAGGACCAGGTAAGTCTCCATCCCTGGGCAACATAGACGCAGTAATTAGCAGTGCGATCTTGCTTCTAGTCCGTATATACTTTTACTCTATATGACATGCATCGACCTGAACTACATAGTTTAAATATTCCATTATAAGCCCCATTCTGCTTTTGTATTAACGTCCACGTATTCAAACTTATTCCGACAACCCCTGAACCCTATACCCCCCTTGTGGTTTAACATGGAACCGTTTGGGAACTGTTGAAAATCGACACCTAGATGATCATCCCTCGATTCGACTTTTTGGTCGTCGGATCATGGCACACGGGTTTCAGGTTTTTGGGTTTCAGGGTTTCGGGGTTTAGGGCTTTAGAGGTTTAGAGGTTTAGGGGTTTAGGGCTTTAGGGCTTTAGGGCTTGGGGGTTTAGGGTTTCGGGTTTTAGGGCTCAAACTTCGTTAAGGTGTTAAAGCAGTTTGAGGGTTCATGGTTTCAGGTTCAGGGCCAAGTGTAGGACTTCAGGGCGTTTGGAGGGGTTTGAGGCTTTCGGGCCGAGGGTCAGGGTGTAAGGTTATACTGTCTGCAGGTTTGAGTTCGACCGGGTGGCAAGCGCTGACGGGTTTGTGGTCTCATGTGGGAATTTCCTGGCCTCAGCAATTACAGCAGCATGTTTTGGTGTACAACATAGGCAGAGTTGGAAAGCCACAACACGGAGATTCATATAGCGTACCCCTCCGAAGCCCATTCTAGTGTTAGTGCACTGATATTACCCAAACTTCCAGCAATAAACTCAGAGCCCTCGCGTGTCTCAAGGATCATGACTACCTCTTCCGCCTTCTGCTGATAGGGGATTCCGGTGCCTTCTCCACATTTGATGCCTTTGTGGTATGCATTGCTGCACTTCATGCTTTTTGACGCATATCCCGGCCACCGAATCTCCGTAGATCTGGGGGCTCACTCTATGTAGCCCCACCCACTAAGGCTCCATGTACCCTTATAGTAGAGATACTTAGGCCTTAAAGTACCTATATTATAGGGACCCCTTTAAGGCCTAAGTATCTACTATAAGGGTACATGTAGTTCCTTTTTGGGACTACCTTATAGGATTCTATATATGAACCCACAAAGGAACTACTTTGGGGCCTATGGGTACATGGAGCCTTTGGGGCCCAGAGCCTTGGACCGCCGCCTTCTTACGGCAGTCTAAGGCTTCAGAGCCACAGGCACCAGAACAGCAAACCCAAAGCCCTGGCATGTTTCAAAGGGGAAAAGGAGGGACCCTTAATGGGGACCCTTACCCTATAATGGGCTATATAATGGGTATATAATGGCTATATTATGGGTATTTACCTAGGCGTCCTTATTAAGAGTCCTTCCTTTTCCCCATTGAATGTTTGTGAAATCCTACGGCGGCGCATGCCAGCGAACCCTCAAACTGGTAGTCCGATCCCATGTGTACAAATAAAGGGTTCAGGTTTGGAGCTGAGGCCTATGTGATACTGCAGTTTTCCTGGTCAAGTTAGTGTTCACGCAAGCTTTCTCTGTTGAGGCCTCCAAAGAGTGCTGTGATTGCCAACGACAAGTTATCTCCGAGAGTTGATAAAGTGGAGCCCTTATAAGACCTCTTTTGAACCCTAAACCAAAACCCCTAAACCCTAAATCCCTAAATCCTAAACCCTAATCCCTAGTATTGGTGATTCTTTAGGCCCCCTACAGGGGTCAAGGCTTGGGAGTTCTGCGAGGTGTCGGCAAGTCGTGCCTCCTGCTGCGTTTCGCAGACGAGACTTGGCTGAGGGGTTTTCAACACGAGATACGGTTGATGATATAAATCCTGCATTACCTTAAGGACCCTAAACTATGAGAACAATGGTATATTCCTTATTATGGGTAATGCTGGATTTATATCATCAACCATATTACCAGAGTTCGGCGGTCAGGGATCGCAAGATGGGGCCTCTGGTGACAAGCCAGAAAGGTTCCCACCGGGGTTTTGGGTTTAACTGTTTTTTCTCGGGGTGGTGTAGAGTTGATCGAATAATCCGCAATTCCGACACTTCTTCTGAGGGCTCTTTAACGGAATCTGTTTGTATATGCTTGTACTTGTGTATTTTACCTACATACTGTTTAACATACCCCCAAAACCCTACTCTGGTTGTTAAGCCCTTACCCTATCCTTCCAAGGACCTCATAGTTAGGGCCCTAGACCCCTTAAGGCCCCCATAATAAGGTCCCTGGAGGCATAGGGATTATATTAGCAACTTTGAGCAGGCAGTGCAGTCTCACCGAGGACACCTACTCTGACAACTTCGTTGCCACGATTGGCGTCGACTTCCGCATCCGGACCATGTTCCTGGCTTCGCGGCTTCTGTCCATAGGGGTCTACCTCCGTGCCTAGACTCGTAGACTCTGAGACAATGAGCCCTAAACTAAACAGTGGTGTGTTGCGATCCGACACGGAGATTGTGACCCCAGAGACCATTCGATGTGAAGGTTTTGGAGGAAGAATGCCTCGAAGCGCTGTTGTTTTTGGCGGGACCGAGGATTTAGGAACTGCCTTTCCTCAGGATCCGCCTATAGCTGGGGACGTTGTATCCAGATGTTCCTACTTTTTACCTGTTACCCCCAATGCTTCACGACTGCGCAGTCCGATTAGGATGTTAGTCAAACCCGAAATCTTCATTTTTGCTAGCGCTGGAACTCCAAACGTGAAACCTTGCTGAAGACAACTCAAAAGTAACAGAGCCCCTGAACGTGCCGAGCATGGAGTTGCTCTTTTCAGCCGCCGTCACAACGCCTGGTTCAGACATCCCAAAGTTGGCATTGGTACTGTACACTTTGGACACCAAAGTGGAGCCAAAGGGGACGGCCCCGAGACCCTGAACAGCCCTAAGCACGAAGCCCTCATCTGCCCTCAGCCCAAAGCCCGAAAACCGAAACCTGCCCTGAACCCTAAGCCCTAAGCCCCACCTTAACCCTGACAAAACCTGCCTTTTTTTTGGTTCCTTATTCTGATTGCCTTATATAAGTCCTAAAAAATGTAGGTGATTTTGGGGTAAGGTATACTCCAAACGCGAAGCCGCTTCTAAAAGCCCCTAAGCTGCCCTAAGCCCTGGAAATCTCTGTGCTCAGGATGGCAAGAAAGCCAAGACGCAGATTTGGGACACTGCCGGTGCTCCTGCCGCGTTTTGAAGTTTGGGGTTTGGGGCCGCGGTTAAGGGTCTGGGATTTCCCTTGGTGGTGTTCTGGGAGTCTGTACAGTATGTTTACAGAGGCTTTAGGTTTGCGATAGGGGTTTTGTTTGGTTTAACGATTCGGCTGATGTGATTGAGGGTTTAGAGATTCTACCGGCAAAGCCGGAAACAGCGAGAACAGCCCTCAAGAATTTCATTCCTTCAGGAAGCGGGTTAGAAACTGCCTGTCCATAGCAACATGGCCGAGACCGGGGCCCTTTACGAACCCGAGTTGCAACCGGCACACCGTCAGAATAATCTGCGCACGCCCGAAGGTGTCAATGGTCTAAGCATGCAAGCAACCAGGTTAGTTCGAGTGACAGGAACAGGACTTGCAACAGCATCTCGTCAGTAACATGGGGATCCCTCTCAACCTTTGCCCATTGTCCGACACCTTATAAGCCCGAAAGCCAAACGATCCAACGCCCGAACACCTTACATCTCATGAAACCAAAGGACGAAGACAACTCAGTCACGCTCGAGTGAAACGGTTTGTAGACAGTTGATACAAAACTCATTCTGTCCATGTCTATCTATGCAGAAAACATATGTTTGCTGATATGTTTTCTGTAATTATATGTATATGTAATTAGCATATGCATATGTATATGTACAGTTCTGTATAGTTAAGTATAATTGTGCATAGCTATGTATAAATGTATATGTTTTCTGCATATGTATATGTCCAAGTATGTATGTGCGCGTATGTGTATATGATATGTATATGGATGTATATACTTATATATAGGTAAAACGTACAGGTATAGTTAGGCTTCGGTATAGGCATAGACATAGATATACTTTGATTTAGGCTTAGACACAGATATGGGTATAGGTATAGGTATAGGTATAGGTATATGTATGTGTGCAGATATTTACATATATATATATATATATATGCTACCCCCCCCCCCTCCCCCAGGACCTACCTCGAAGCCTTTTCTTGTACTGTCTAGACAACGTTACGAATCCACTCCGAACTAAACTGCAATATACTGCGTAGTCTTCGCTGTCTACGACGACGCCACACCGTTCGAGCCATATCAATACCATGAAGTATTGTCTACTGTCCTCTGTATGCTACGCTATTTAACGGCGCGCTCCTCCTGATGTTCCTTTTTTGAACCGTGATCTATAAGGTATGTTAGAAGCTATTGTAAACGGTATCTTAAATGGTATTCTGAAGGATATTCTATGAGGTATATTTGGGGTATACAAAAGATATATTTCATAGGCGGTCTTCTGTAAGGATGGTATTCTATAGGGCATTCTATAATGTATTGTAGAGGGTACTCCATAAAGTATTGTACAAAAGGCATTCTGCGGCCTATATGTAGGAAGGTATTCTATAGTGTATGTTTTATGAAATTTATTAAGGTGCATAGAGAGTGTATTTTATAAGGTAGTTGTAAGGATAGTTTTCCTGGTTCCTGATTTCTTCATAGGAACCCTTTACCCAAAAGCTGCAAGTCAACTGGAAATTATCAGATCTTGGGCTCCGGCTGGCTTTCCATATTTAAAACACGTATCTATAAGGTACTGTTAGGATTTTCTATAATGGGTTTCAAAAAGTAATCTAAATGGTACTGTACAAGTATTCTATATGGCATACATAAGGTACACAGGATGTATCAAATAGAGGCGCTCTTCTTCAAAGTATTCAACGGGGTATTACAGATGGTATTATATAAGGTGTATGTACAGTAAATCGGTGGAAAACGCAGTTTAACAGGCATTCTATAGGGTATGTGCAGCATGTGTTTCAGAAGAGCTCTGTTCTCGTTATGTATCTTTTGTTAGACAAGCATCGATTTTCAAGGAATTTCTAGATCCTATATTCCGCAATTCCTTGATATGAATCCGTTGCTAAATAAACCACATTCAACTGGGGAACTCTCAGATCTTGGGTGTGCAAGGTGTATAGGGAATATAGGAACATTATATAAGGTATTACCGTATTCTACATGAATTTCTTTACGGTTTGTAAAAAGGGTATTCTGTAAGGTATTCTACAGGCATAAATGTCCGTTGCTCAATAAGCTGCAAGAAGCTTGGGCTCCTTCTGATTTACACTACGTAAATCCTGGTCTATACGGCTTTTGTCGGGTATCCCAATGGGGGTTCTCAAGGGCATGTATAAGGTATAAAGGGAGTATCATCCATAGGGCGTTTATAATACATTCTGTAAAGTATACCAGATAGGGTATATAGGAGATAAACTAGGTATTCTATGTGGCAGTCTATAGGGTATTTATACGGTATCCCAACCTGTAACGTATAAAAAGTATTCTATAGGGTGTATATATAGGACAGATTTCTATAAGGTGTTTCATGAGATACAGGGTATTCCATAAGGTAGATTATACAAAGTATATACTTTATAAACTCTATACGGTACGACCTGAGTATTTTCTATGAAATCCTGGAAGGGATAGGTATTCTATAGTGGATTTTGAATGATATCTGTTTACAAGTAGGTTCCTGATGTCCACCATGGGAACCCGTTACTCAATAAGCTATAACTCAGCTGGACATTCGCAAGTTCGGCTCCGACTGATGTTCCATATTTAAACCTGTCTGTACAGTATTTATTGTATTTATGCTCACAAGGACAGGACTGGAACTGGAAGTACAATATCACTTGATTTTGATTAGATGCAGCTTGGGTCATCACACATTTGTTGTCATGCGATCAAACTGTCAAGCACAGCAATCCATTCGCTAATCTTCACTGCAGGAGTGGCCATGTGGCACATAAAATGGCAAACCGATATGTTTCGTGAATATTTATATGGTTTCCAGCGACCTGGCTGCATTAAAAAGCGCATTAAAAAAAACAAATTTTAATGCAGCCCGGCCCGTGGAACCAAGAACCAAGAACCAAGATTCCCAGGAGTCTTGAATTCTGAATCTTGGTTCCACGGGCACCGGCCGGGTTGCATTAAAATTTGCATTAAGAAATTAAATTTTAATGCAGCCAGGCCCGTGGAACCAAGAACCAAGATTCCCAGGAGTCTTGAATCCTGAATCTTGGTTCCACGGGCACCGGCCGGGTTGCATTAAAATTTGCATTAAAAAATTATATTTTAATGCAGCCCGGCCCATGGAACCAAGAGCCAAGAACCAAGATGCTCAGGAGTCTTGAATCCTGAATCTTGGTTCCACGGGCCTGGGTGCATTAAAATTTAATTTTTTAATGCAGATTTAATGCAGCCCGACAAGTGCCCGCGGAACCAAGATCCAAGAATCAAGACACCCGGGCATCTTGGTTCTTGGTTCCACGGGCCAGAGCGCATTAAATTTTAATTTTTTAATGCAGATTTTAATGCAGCCCGGCCGTGCCCGTGGAACCAAGATTCAGGATTCAAGACTCCTGGGAATCTTGGTTCTTGGTTCTTGGTTCCACGGGCCGGGCTGCATTAAAATTTAATTTTTTTAATGCAAATTTTAATGCAACCCGGCCGGTGCCCGTGGAACCAAGATTCAGGATTCAAGACTCCTGGGAATCTTGGTTCTTGGTTCTTGGTTCCACGGGCCAGGCTGCATTAAAATTTATTTTTTTAATGCGGGTTTTAATGCAGCGGGGCCTCTGGTATAGTCATGTTCGTATACACGAATCTTCGGAGACCTATTCCATGTTGCATGTGTTTGCGTGTTTGGGTGTGTGTGTGTGCATGGGTAATAAAGTGTGGTATCATATGTAGACAGACGGGTTTGGAGGTAGGTCCTGGGGGGGGGGGGTTACCATATATATATATATATATATATATGTGTAGATAGATAGGTATACACTTACAAGTACACACGTGTGTGTGTATCCATATATATATATATACACACATACATAACATAAAATTGTACATATACAAATACACACACACACACACATATATATATATATATATATATATATATATATATCCATACACATGCATATGTATTTGTATTTGTATATGCATATCCATTCGTCCATCCGTCCGTCCATCCATCCATGCATCCATGCATGCCTGTATATACATGTACATACTTAAATTGGAATTGGACAGACGCACACAGACACACACAGATTTTCAAAGCACCGCTCCGGGGGAGGTCAGGAGCGGTTTCGCACCATTTGCGCGAGCCTCACGGCAAGACGGCCTCAGGGTTCGGATTAGGGCTGAAGCGATGATGTTTGACGATTTTGAATTCAGGGTTTGAGGCTTTATGGTTTAAGATTTTAGATTTAGGCTCTGAGGCTTCATGATTTTGGATTTTGGATTACGGGCTTGAGGCTTTTGGAGTTAGGATATTGCAGTAAGGGTCTGGGGTCGGGTTGCTATGGGCGCTATAGGCTTTTTGGGGCCTTAGACAAATGTTTCTATCGTTTTTGGCTGCTGCAGAAGAAGCATAGACCAAAGGCGAGTCCTTTGCTGTACGGGTCCCTATATTGAGGTCATGGGCCAGGGTTTCTGAATCAGGATCCTACATCAGACTGCAGAATCCTGAACATTGTGTTCAGGGCACCGAATAGTTTCCTCCCATGATCCCATATGCGACACGTAGTTTATTGGGTTCGTATAGCTGGGTAGTCTACTGGAAGATGCACAAATGACTTCAGCGCATTGGCGAACCATAATCCGGGTTCTTGAATAAGCAAACACTCTGTAACGCCCGTCTCAGATCTTTATTACCTCACCTTGTAGCTTATTGGCTGTAAACTCAACTTTTCAACTTTTGGGGTTCTTATAAGGTAGTCGATTCTGAAAGTTTCAACTTTTGTTTCCTTGGGTTTTGGGCTAGTGAGGTAAAGCCTTCTTCTAGAATCAGATCAAGGTTTTGCAAGAGCTCTTTCCCCCCGCGGAGCTCGGAGTTTGCATTTAGGTAGCTGTCAAAATTAAGGTCCCATTTTGGGTAGCCTAAATATTAGGTGCCGTACCATATTAAGGACCCAAAAAGCGACCCTGATTTTGACAACCACCGCATTCCCTAAGGCTCCATGTACCCTTATAGTAGATACTTAGGCCTTAAAGTACCTATATAGGGACCCCTTTAAGGCCTAAGTATCTACTATAAGGGTACATGGAGCCTTTGGGATTTGAGGCTACTACAGAGGTGCACATGGGATCATCGTCGTCTTCGACCTCACAGTCTTCTGCCTCCTTCAGGGCTGTCGGGTTCACTTTTAGGGTTTAGGGTTTAGGGTTTAGGGATTCTACTTAAGAGCATAAAATTTTCTTTCGGGTTTGGCGTTCAGGGTTTCGAGAGTTGAGATGAGGGCCCAGGGTCGTGGGGAAAGAGTGGTTGCAACAAGTAGGTGGTATATGCAGCAGTACGAGCAACCCCCTGCGCATAGACAATTACTGCCCTTCAGCCGGTGCACCGGCGGTGTAGCGTTGGGGTTTTGTCAAAACGAATCGCGCTAATCCTCAACCACTCCATGTGGAGTTAGGACTAGCCGGGTCAGAATTCCGTGTCCGACTTCAATCTGATAGCCTGAAACATCCTTCGAGTTATCCCTAGATCCCTAGAGTTCCTTCATACATCTATTATAGCATCGTATAACGCGAAACCCTCGCCTTAATCCCTAGACCGTGGCCTTCAGCTCTGGATTGAAGGTTGCTTCGGTTGCCTGTGCAAGCTCTGAGTCGTTAGGGGTTCAGGACTTCTGGGTCAAAGTATATCATGTATCAGGGCTTTTAGGGTTTAGGGTCTTGGGCCTGTAGCGTTCAGGGCTTCTCGGGTTTAAGGCTTAGGGCTGATGGGGTCCAGTGTAGGGTTCAGGGGTAACTCCCCAAAGCATCAAGTACAAATTCATAGGTCCTGCGGTTATGAGTCATCCACTCAACCGTACATGACCGGGATCGTCGAGGACCCTCAATGAAGGTCCTGGTACCCTTCATGCAGCCTTTATGGCCAATTATGGGCAGCTAGGTTCTGATGGAGGTTGGCGGTGGGGATCTAGGAAAGCTTTGAGGAACTACCCTAAACCCTACAAGCCCTAATATATAAACCCTATATAAGCCGATAAGCCCTAAACCTCAATCCTATGAGCCCCGGACCCTAAACGCTATAACCTCTAAACTTCCTAAATCCAGAGGGACCCTCAATAAGGACCCCTAGGTGTATACCCTTAATATAGCCGTTATATACCCATTATAGGGTAGGGGTCCCCATTAAGGGTCCCTCCTTTTCCCCTTTGATAAACCCGAAGGCTTAAGTTTCACGGTGCGAGTGAGGACCGCGAATCCTTTCACAACGTACGCCACTGGTTGGAGGCCGACTCACTTAGACCCCCAATACCGAACGGAAAGTTTAACCTTCTATTCCTGTGGCTTATTGGAGTAGTAAGCTGAGGGTTCAACTCTTATGGTTTCAGGGCTTGGGGTTTTATATCGGAGCTTCAATTCTAAACTTCAAAAAGGTTACCAATGCTATATTGTGGGGGTTCCTTATTAATTTGGTTGCAGTGTAAAACCAGATTTTAATAATTAAGGCCTCTTTATTAGGGTTTGAGTTTGAGTTGTAGGGTTTTATAGGGTTTACGAGACGTTCAAAAGGACGGTCGCAGTGGGTGACGGCACGAGTACGCCCAGACATGCCCGGGCACGTCTTGACACCGAATGATGCGGACTCAAAACGCCGCGAATCAGCAGGAAGAGGAGCAAACGAAGCGAGCAGAAGACCAGACCCGACTAAACTGCACAAGCCCTGAGGTTCTTAATGTGTAAGACTTAGCGTTTAGGGTAGTATTGAACCATCTAGTGCCTACTATTGGTATTGGGAGAAGGAGTCTATGAGCCCTCTTCCTATGCATCCTAAGCCTAGCTCTGTAAAACTCAGATCCTATAACTTCTCACTCGAAATGGGATATAAGCCCTAGGCGCGAACTCCCAAAGTTCTTAGCTCGAAGCCCTGAGCCGGTTGCTTCATGCGGGTAGGAGATTGAGAAGTACTCACAGCCTGGGATCAACAAGATGCTTGTGGGCAACAAGTGCGACCCCCGACCGGCTTGGCATCAGATTTCTTCGGCTTCTGGAGATGGTTTCGCTGTTTTCGCATGTTTCTCCTAGAACCCCAAGGCCGAAGCCCTGAACCCATAGACCGTCACAGAGCAGAGCCATATAGAACCCCTATAAACCCTGGCAGGACCCCAAAGGAACGGTTCCGACACCCAGAATAGGTAATGCTTCCTAAGCCCATGGAGCTTAAGACTTTTGAGCCCTGAACAACCCTGCCTATAAATCCCATTAAACCCTGTCAAGCCATAGTAAACCTGGTGACACTAAGCCTTCAAACCCACCCGGAAACCCAGGATATGGCTTCCAAGCGAGCAGTCACCTACGACGAGGTGGGGTTTCGTTGTAGGGTTTAGGGTTCTGAACCACAATCGCCCCTCTAAACTCGTGACTCTCCCTATGGTGTTCTTGGTGTTTGCAGTGTTTTATTTTGGCTTACACAGTTTTAATGTCGAGGTTTGATCTTGTCCGTGTAGGCTTTTACTAGGTTTTCTCGGGGTGGTTAAGAGGGTTTGACTCGCTGCTGAAACTCGTCACCCCGGTAGCAGGGTTTTAGAGTTTAGAGTTTTGGGTCGACAGCAGAGGGTCCAAGTGCCTAATTTTTACAGGCTTCAGCTCCTGCAGACTACTCTTTGAATGGCTTTTTGTAGGGGCCGCAATAGTTTGACTTGGGTTTTGATGTATGTTATACTCTCCCTTCAATACGGAGCCCCAAAATAGTTCGGCCCTCATATTGAATCCCTGCTGTCTGGGGTGTTCTGTGGGCTTCTTCAAACCCTAAATCCTACATCCTTAAAGCTTAGACCATTACAGTACACCCCATAAAGTTGGAAACCGGATTAAGGCCAAATAGTGCTGGGATTCCCTATACATTACTCTTAAGGACTGAGGCTAGTGGGTTTCCAACTTTTGGGCTTCTACTGTAAACCTTAAAAGCAAGACGCCACAGCTCCTGCAGTCGCACAAGGCTCGTGAGCTTGCAGACGAGCTCGGGCTAAGCCTCTCCGCTGGCAGAAAATCCGAAGACTAAATCTCGTGTCCGGTGGATGTTTAAGGGTTATGGTTTCGTGTCGGTCCCGTGTATACCTCTATTCAAAGATACTGGTTATTAGAATGTAATACCCCGAATCCACTTGTGATTCTTTACCGCCCCCTGCATGAAGCCCTATGTTACCCTATCCTTACCTTTGGTTAGTAGGGAATGGAGGAATGGGGTACAATTATAACTACTATTCCTACCATTCTTCCACTCCCTACCAACCAAAGGTAAGTATCCTAAGATTTCAGGCTTGGAATCCGAGGACCATGTTAGAGGACTAGTCTGTTCAAGTGCGCGGGTTTTGCATGAGTCGACCTTCGAAGCCGCCTAAAAGCCTAAATCCTGAGCCGGGCCGAAACAAACCTTCAATCCGAAAATCGGAGCCCGGTAACCTAGATCCTGTCGGAGGTTCACTGGTTTTGGTTTTGTTTTGGTGGTTTGGCTTGAGACTTGTGGGTCAAACAGGGGTCGCAATGCTTCGTAGTAGGCTTTCCTTGTGGTCTTACACCATATTCATGGTATAGAGATCTTACCTACGTCACATCCAGAACTTTTGAAAGGCACTATCCGTACCATCCGCCATCCAAAACAAAGCACTGCAGTGCTGGCCATGTCTAGGTAGGTCGATACCGCCTGGGTCTTCGCCGCACACACCCTCGAAGGATACTTGGAAACCAGCGCCAAACATGCCCACAACGTCGACGAGGCCTTCACGCAGATGGCCAAGGCCTGGTCACAGCCGGGGATCTTGAGTTGAGAATTCAGGGCATAGGTTTGGGTTTAGGGTTTTGGGGCTTAGGGAACTTGGGTGATGTTCAGGGTTTAACGTTTGTCGGCGTGGCTGAAGCCTGTGCCACAAAGCCCGAACGACTGATCCCCAAAAGCTGCTAAATGCTCAGCCCTGTCAGGGGTTGAGGATTGGGATTTAGGGCCTAGTTTAGGGCCTAGGGTTTGCAGCTTACAGTGATTAAGGTTGCCAGCTATTCCTCAGAAGCCGAAAAACCCAAACGTATCATGACACTAGCCGAGCAGTGATTGTGTAGCAATGCTGATCGAGCACGAGATACTCTGGACCAACAAACATCTAGAATGATCCCAAGCACAGATTCGAGCACCATTGGCAAGTACTGCTGATGACGACTCAGACAGCCAAGACGACCACGACCGCGACCGAGACAACAACAAGTCCCTCGCGACGACGACGACAATGCGTGCTGCCACGATGACGACAGCGACGACGATTCAGGATGACAACAGGCAATGCAACACAAAAGAAGTACCCCGACTGCTACCAGCACCTCCATGCACAGCAGGCCCCCAATACAAAGTGTATGCTGTGGCCTGAAAGTACATATGTAGGAATTGAGATAGATTAAGGAACCCTACTTAGATCCCCAATACCTAACCTTTAAACTGTTTGGGTTCTTATAGTTTAGTAGGAACCGGAAAGTTTAACCTTCTATTCCTGTGGCTTATTGGGGTAGTAAGCCTAGATAATTCAAAATCTTGGCAAGTGGATGCTGTGGCCTGAAAGTAGATATGTAGGAATTAAGATAAATTAATAAGGAACCCTGCATACTTCAAAAAATTGGCAGGAGATCAAAGACCGGGTCTCAAAGGAAGCTCCTCCATCGAGCACCCCGACGAGGCACGCTGCCCGGGGAGAGTGGCGAGTTTGGGACTTCTGACTGAAAGCTGTGGGTCCCTCCTAAATGGCCCCTTGGAAGACTCTAAAAAGGAGAATACCATGTAGGCTTATACAAGACCCTCTTGAACGGATTTTTGGAAGAAGGATGATACTACTCAGGTATTTCTTATTAGGGCACCTGATGTTCTGCAGCTCGCATTTGGGTTCAGAGCTTCTTTTCCTTTCCGCTGAGGTTGCAGGCCAGGGCTGGGTTCATGCTCGAATATACTTAGATCCCCAATACATAACCTTTAAACTTTTTGAGCTCTTATAGTTTAGTAGGAATCGGAAAGTTTAATGAGGATTCCCTGCACCAAAATTACTGTATACCTACAGTACCTACAACGGAACCCCTTTGAGGTTCAAGTAGATGCTGGATGGGTGCACAGACCCCGGGGGCTGTGCAGGTGTTAGATTTCGGCCGTGACTTCAGAGCAGCTTCGGGTGCTTTTCGCCCCGGGTGCAGAGACACCTCGCATTGAAGTTTCGTTGTAGTGATTACCTTAATTTGGACTTACATATATATATATATATATATATAAGGACATCATATTAATTAAGGATCCCTAAAAAGGCAGGCTTTCTGGGTTAAGGCAATTTTTGGTATAGGGGCTTAGGCGGGCTTAAGTTTTAATGTAAGAAGACGGCTTTGGCCCTGAACCTTGCTTTCGTGGCACTGCTCAGGACAATCTTGGGACCTGGACGCCGGATCTCCGCAACGAACTGTTGCCAGTAGGTGTTGTCGAACTTCTGGCGGTGGGACCTGTGATTACATGCAGTTTTGATGCCGCGACACGGCTAGTTCCGTGAGCGGCACGGTGCCCCACACACTGTACAGTCCTTCGGGCACTTTGTTCCAGACGTCAAGGTGTGCGTGTTCCGGTTCAGCATCTTGAAATACATGGACATGAGCAGTGTAACAGTATGTAATTTGGAAAATGGAATACCAAGAGCAGTGGCGGAGCAGTACGTCGATAGTGCAACGACCTGTCGTGAAGCGAGGTGACGTTTAGATCGGTCAGATAGTTTTAGCCTCTGCACGGAGAAGCATGGAAACAACATGAAACAAAGGTGCTGTCCCATCAATAGACCAGGACTTGCATTGGCTCCCACACTCGCAGCCTGTAGTTAAACCCTAGTTACGCTCAGCTTAAAACCTGCTGCCAGCGCAGTCTGGTTGCACAACGCAACGTCCCAAACCCCAAACCCTAAACCCTAAATACATTAATATTATACAGTATCATACACGAAAGGAAGCAAAGAACATCAGGGCCCTGCAAGAAATATGTGTCTCCCAAGGCCCCCGAGTCGATCCTGGAGTTTCAAACTTTGGAGTGCGAGGTGTTTTTCAGGTTAGTTTAGGATTTGGGGTTCAGGGTTTAGGGTTTAGGGGATAGGATTTTGGGGTTTAGGTTTTGGGGTTTAGTATCAGGGTTCCAAGGTCTAAGGGCTGAGGCTTACGATGAGGATGCCGGTGAACTCCCACCTTGAGCTGGGCCTCTGCCTCTGTTTCTTGCGCACGATTCGAAGCTCCGGGTGGTGGAGGGGCATTTCCATGCAGGCTGCTCCACCTGAGCAGAAGGAGCTTCGGAGGTCGCGGAGTCGTGGAAAATGGCGGTTTAGGCTTCAGGGCTCTGAGCGTTGATCATGCGTCGTTTAGCTGTAGTTTCTATGCCGGTTTGTAGGGCACTTCACGGTTTTCTGGTGTTCATAAGGCCTTGTTTGGTCTGCATTGGGGATGAGTAGTGCAGGGACTCCTTTGTTTTTCTTCCTGGCATTTGTTCTATCCGAAATACTTCAGACGTACATCCATTGGTCCTCGAAGGAAATGGAGCGGTGCTTGTACTTGTTGAGGCGCCAGAACGTCCAGCCTGATCGGTGTTTTGGTGTTTTGGCTGTTTCAGGGATTTAGGGTTTAGGGTTTAGGGTTACCCTAAACCCTAAACCCCTAAACCCTAAACTGGGCTTTAGGTCTCTATCTTGGAAGACCCAAGCCCCTCAACACCAAAGCCGGTGCAGAGCTGAGTAGTGGGAAGCCCGAAAAAGGAACCGGAAGCGAGGAATCAGCAAGCCCTGAGTGCAAACCCGACAAGGTAAGCCTCAAACTCTGGATCTCAGGAAGTTTCTAGGTTGTCAACAGGGCAACTGTGTGTGTGTGTGTGTGTGTGCTTCTAGAGGGTGGACTTGATCATGTGTGAGACAGTCCGATGCACACATTAAAATGATCCCATGAATTTTCGTCATAGAAACATGGTCCCATGAAGTTAGAAGGCCTTTCTGAGATGCTTCTAGAATCCTGCTAAGAGCACTGCTACCATCTCAGCCCTGAAGCTCTAAACCCCAAGTGTGTGTGTGTGTGTGTGTGTGTGTGCGCGCGTGCGCGTGCAAGTTTATACACAGGTCATCCATGCATACGAAGGCATTGACATTGATCACGGGGCGTAGGTAGTATCAGGGAGACACCGAAGAGGGGACACTTCTTACCCATACTTCTGGCTCTCCTTATGTCTACTTCTGGCTCTCTTTACTGAGAGGGTATATATTCCCAAGGGTCCCCGTAATCCTAAACCTTAAGCAGGCCCTAATCCTAAACCCCAGACCTTAAATCCCAAATCCTGAACCTTAAACCCTAAATCCTAAACCCCAAACCCTAAATCGTAAACTCTAAGCTTAAACCCTAAACCCTCAAGAGCCGGTTAAATAGAAATTGTGTGAATTTCCCTTCGAATTCCATATTCATTAGTTCGGAATTTCTATTAAATGTGGCCAGACCAGACCAGCCTCCCAGCAGTCCATCTCTTAGATCCCCAATACCTAACCTTTAAACTTTTTGAGATCTTATAGTTTAGTAGGAATCGGAAAGCTTAACCTTCTATTCCTGTGGCTTATTGGGGTAGTAAGATCTACCAGCCCAGCCGAAGCCAGCCCCAGCCCCTCGCTTCTCAGCCCAGCCAGTCCCCCGGCCCAGCCCAGCGAAACTGCAAAATCACAAGCCCAAAAACACAAGTTCTCAAAACTCCGGCCCTAATCCTAACTTCAAAACCCTCTAAACCCTAATCCTAACTCCTAAGCCCTAACCCTAACTTCTAAACGGGGCAGGGCGCGTACCGCCCAGGTGTCGTCAGCTCTGTCGGACCCGGCCGTGAACGCAGCCATGAGGCCCCCGGGAGGCTTAGGATACCAATACTACTGTTGATGGACAACTTGTCTCCCCAATACCTAACCTTTAAAGGGAACTCCAGAAAGTTGGAATATGGTTTCTTGGTAGGATACCCTATAGTTTACCATAGAAAGGTTAGGATAATCATATTCCAACTTTCTGGCTTTTACTTTAAGCTTTTGGAGTTCTTGTAGTTTAGTAGGAATCGGAAAGTTTAACCTTCTATTCCTGTGGCTTATTGGGGTAGTAAGACAAAATCCTGCATGACCTTAAGGACCCTAAACTATGGGAATTATGGTATCTTCCACATAATGGGTAATGCAGGATTTTGACCATCAGCAGTATGGCTATGTTCCTGAGTAGAAGCCTTTTGCCCTTTTTGTTGTCGGGCTCCCTTCGTAAAGCCCTACAGTGGGAAAAAGGGTACCCTTATGTTCTTAGTACTTAGTACGGAATAGGGCCTGGATTATGGATGGAGACCATTAGTGGGGATTATCGCACCAGACAGAATACTATGGAGACTGGTGAGAATCATAGTAACAATAATGCTTAGTATGCTTGTTATAAGCGGTTCAGGGATCTGGTAGCAGACGAGAGAAAGTACTACAACGTGGGTCATCAGGTTTCTATTGGGTTAGGTTTAGAGTTGAGGGTTCAGGGTTTGGGTTATAGGGGCATGAGGTTCTTGAGTGGGCTTAGGGTTTGGGGTTTAGGGTTCAGGGTTTAGGGGTTTAGGGTTTAGGGTTATAGGATTCAGGGTTTAGGGGTCCAGTAAGCCCGCGCCCAAAAAGTTCCTTTTTAGGGTTCTAGAAGTGTAGAAAAGGGTTTCTTACAGGATTGCACACGGGCTCCGCACGAGGTTCTACATCAGTCTTATAAGGGTTTCAAGAAGGTCGGGGATTGGGGCTTGCAGACGAAGGGTGTTTCGAGTGGGATTTGGGAGTTTCCGAAAATAGGGGACCCTGATATAGTACCCTAAACAGTAGGATCCCTACCCCAAAATAAGGTACCCCTCATTTTCAGAAACTCCGATTTAGCTTTCGGATGGAGGTCTCAGGGTGCAGTGGTCCTCGAAATACATAGAAGAGGGTTCCTTTAAAGGGGTCGATAGGGGCTATGTATAAGGATTATTATTATAGGGGCATAGGGGCTTAAATTGTTACCTATGCTATTACTATTTTGAGGGCTCCTTATATTATAACTCTAGTATCGACGGCGCCACTCACAAATCCGGAATACTAGGCCGAGCGGCAGCCCACAGCCCCCGGTGCTTGGCCCCAAACCACCAAATCCTTGGGCGAAAATCCCCCCGAACCTTGTAGAGGTTCATTAGGCTGAGGGTTGAGGGCCTCAGGCTTTGAAGTTTAGGGTTCAGGGGTTTGGAGTTGAGGATTAAACCCTAAACCCTAAGTTAGGGTTGGGGTTCAGGGCTCCCACGGCTTCCCCACTCATGACCTCACAGCGCTCCGGAGGGAGCAGCTGGGATTTGATCTCGACTTCCCCATTCAGCAGCTTGGGCCGGAATTAGAATTTGAAAAAAACAAGGTAACTCTGGTCACACCAGCTTTTCGAGTTAAAATTTGTCCATTAAGACCTCGATGAGGTCATTTGCAGCCTTGCTTCTCAAGTCACTCGAGCCTCCGAGTCTTGTTTAGGGCTTTGGGTTTCTGGAGCCAGCTCCATGCATGCTCTGCATCAGGGCTTCGATCGTATGCGGCACATGTCCCAGTCAAGACCCTAAACCCTAAACCCTAAACCCTCTCATATAGGCACATGGGACTCCTCCGACGCGACTGTCTAGAAACCTAAAAAGGATCCTTCTTCAAACGAATCCAGCCCGAAACTCTACAGTGACTTTAAAGATCTTGAAAGGGTTTCTACGGGCATTGAGGTTGACAACGCAGGCCGTAACTCATGACCCTAAGTCGCGAAGAGTTTTAGGGTTTAGGGTTTAGAGCTTGGGCTATACTGCGTAAACCTTAAAGTCCCCCCAGACAGAGTCGCTAAACAGGCAGTTTAAAGCATATGTCAAACCCCTACTTTAGTCATTGAGGCCCCTATCTTTAGCCCGCTAATTCCCTAGAACACTCCGAACAACATCTTCACCAAACCCGTAAAAACCTTAGAGCACACCCATAAAAAACTGTATGAATGTCGTTGAACAAGCCTAGCTTTGTAGGGACCACTTTAAGGCCAAAGTAGATATGGAAAGTTCCGAAAATAGGGTACCCTAATATGGTACCCAAAATAGTAGGATCCAAATTGTAATGACCCCAAAAGAAGGTACCCACAATTTTCGGAAACTCCCAGTATTCTATGGACACAAGACAAAGGAGCGAAAGGGAACTGGACAATCTCGTCCAGGAGGTCCTGGAGGACTAAACCGACAAGGGTTGAGGGTTCTCTGCCACTGTGCTTTGTGCCTACTGGCTGTTAACTCAACTTTTCAGCTTTTGGGGTTCTCATAAGGTAGTCGAATCTGAAAGTTTCAACTTTTGTTACCTTGGGTTTTTGGGCCACTGAGTTCGAGAGCCTTGACAGGAGAAGTTGTCCTAGTATTACCAGGGTTCAAGCAT